GCCCAGCCCAGCCCAGCCGCGACGGGCTCGAAGCCTGTAAAGAAAACTGGTGTTTGGGAGGAGGAGCGAGCGCGGCCAGGAGGACAGGAGCGCCGGGCTGCAGGCGGAGATGCTGCGTCATGGTGCCAACATGGACGCCGGCCTTTTGTCCTCCTTCGCGTTGCCAGCGCAGGCGCACCCCGGAGCTCCGAGAAGCCGGCTTCGGGGTGCGGAATCCTCACGATCGAAAGGGAAAGAGGACCAAAGGCTGGGCGATGAGGCTCCCTCGTCTTTTAAGCCCCCCGTCTCCAAAGCACTTCAATTTCTTCTCCCCATCCAGGCTCAGACCTGGGAAGAGCGAGGGGGGCGAAGGCAGGCGGCTCCATGAGCCCCCGAGGGTCGCTGCGGAGCCCCTCTTCTCGCCCTTGGGGCAGAAGAGGTACAGGGGCCCGAAGAGCCCTCCGTGTCCCAACCCCCCGCCCACTGCCCGCTCCGGCTGCCAAATACAATGCTCCAGAATCCTCCTTCTCCCCTCAGCTCCCAAACACTCGCAGCCCTTGCTTGGCCTGCAAAAGGGTTTCCTCGAAGGGGCAAAAGGCACTTTTATTTTTCTTACTTACCCGCTCAGCCCGGTGCCATGGAGTCTAGAAGATCAAGCTGGGCGGTGGTTTTGGAGACGTTATTGTAAAAACATATATTTTTTTTGATTTAGTTGGGAAATTTGGGAGTTATGGTGGTGTCTTTGTTCTTGTTACCTTTTTGTAAGTTACACCCTCACGTTCTGCTCCTTCCACTTCTGCAAACTTTCCAGGGTTGGGTAGGCAAAAAGGCAGCTTCGCTGAGGACTGTTTACTGCTCTGGATATAGCAATGGTGTGATCGTCATTAAGAGACAAAAGGCGAAAATACACAGTCAAATCAAACAAAAGGCAAAAGACACCAGCCGCCCAACCACCATAGAAAATACCCCCCACTTAACGTTGAACGTGTTTGCTGGAACCAGTTAGGACTTGTTTTCCAGTTTTAATCTAGTTTCCTGTGACGGCTTTAGTCTCTCGACACAAAGAGAAGGTCTTCCTTTCCCTCACCCACCAGCTCCCCCCAACCCCCAACCCCAAAGACGAGAAAAACAGGGCTGTTTTTCTTCAAATAGATCGATTTTCAAAGAAAGTGTACAAGCTACGGGGAAGAAAGCTGACTAGCATTTAGTGCTGTAAGCATTTTCAAAAGCATAAAGCTAGAACCTTAGCTTTATAAAAGCAAGATCGTCTCAAAGCATCTTAACTGGCTTATATTAGACAAGAGAGACAAAGACATACATGCAGATGAAGGTTCGGAAAATTAAGGACATCTCAGCAACATTAACATAAAAACTGTACTGCGTCAGGACAGAATGGATTGGGTACTTACAATGTAAAAGGTTTTTTAAAAACTAAGAGTAAACTGCTCACAATTTTTTGTTGCTGCCATTTCGCTAGTTCTAAAGCTATATACATTTAAAACATTACCTTGTTAAAAAGAGAGAAGGAGTTAATAAGATGGCCAGGTTTAAGTGTTTAATAGAGGAAACTAGATATATTTAAAAATTTATTGTTCAGTCAAGAGAATACAGATTAAGACAGCTCCAAGCTCCCCCCACCCACCCAAAGAACAAAAAGGAAAAAAATATGTCATTTACTTAGGTTTTTTTGGAATTCAAAACTGTTAACTGCTGACATGAATGGTGTGCTATGACCTAGTTATACAAGACAAAGATGGATTCCAAGTCATAAGGAAAAATCCAGATCTTTTTAAAAAGTCTTCTCCAGTCTTCCAACTGTGAGTCCTTGGGCCTGTTGACAAATGTTAAACACACTGAGACGTCCTGAACTGGATGGTAGAGTCAAAGGAAAAACATTCCCCATTTGCAACAAAGGAAAAACCCACTTGGCCATTTAATTCCATTGCAGAAAAATGGCTTCCCTCATCTGTTGGCCTCTCCTTCGTGTCTGATGAAGGATGTTTTGAGATCAGCGTCTAATAACTCAAGCCCTATAGAAGCCGCGCGCTGATTGGCTGCCGCGCCCTGCCGCCCTGCTCCAGCCAATTACCTACCCACGGCCAAATTACAAACCCCGAAAAGAGCCCCAATATGAGCTACACCAGCTCCGAGCCCCGGCGAGGCGGCTCCTGCGCCTCGGCCGCCAGAGAGGAGCGGCAGAGGGGGCTGCAAACGCGTCCTCGCGAAGCCCGGGAGCCTCGGAGTTGAACTCACAAAATGGAAGCCGCGCGCTGATTGGCCGCCGCCACTCCCGGACCTTTAATAAAGAAAGGGGAAGGAAAAGATAAATGCAAAAAAGGGGGACTCTCTCCTCCGCGGGTGGCTGGAGGAAGGGGGGGAAGCATGTGTTCAGGACAATTACAGGGCGATCCCCTCCAAAAATAAAAACAGAAGAAGGCTTCTATCGCCCAGGTCCAGGCGAGGGCTACATCCTCCCAGGAATGCGAATGCTAACGTGGTGAACCCTGGTCTCCCCTCCCCAGCTCAGCTCCGGGGAGGGGGTCGCGGGCCGGAGGAGGAAGCTGGAGCGCAGATACCTCGATTGCAACTCCTCTGAGTCGACGCCGGCCTCCCCGCGCGGTTCCCAGCGTCCACACACACCCTCGGCCCCCTAGACCCCAGCCCTCTCCCCGGGTC